GTGAGTGTAGTAAATAAATAATTAATTAATTAAAAAGACACCCAAACCCTAGCATTAGCTTGCTTATCTTATCCCTCCTTGTCTTTCCACCTAGGTCAGAATCGCTTCCCTGGCTGTCGCTGTAAAACCCAGTGCAATACCAAGCAGTGCCCGTGCTATCTGGCAGTGCGAGAGTGTGACCCTGACTTGTGTCTCACCTGTGGAGCCTCGGAGCACTGGGACTGCAAGGTGGTTTCCTGCAAAAACTGCAGCATCCAGCGTGGCCTCAAGAAGGTGAGGGCCTGTCTCAGGACTCTGAGCCAAATAATGGAGCAAGAAAGAAGGAATAATTCCAAGCATCCTCTTTCCACTGGTTCCTAGAGGGCTTGTATGTGAAAGGTACTGAAAGACCCACATTTACTGAATTTATTAAGTTTCTGTCCCAGCGAGGGATAAGGAAGGTGGCCTTTTGAACTGGCCAGATTGGAAGGAGCAGAGAAGTGTGCCATTACGTTGACTCTTTTACCCACACACAGCAGGGAATTCCCATAGACCCAGGTCCAGGATGTCCCCAGGGGTAGAGGAAAAGGTGTCCTGTTGCCTGTCACCACCTCCCTCCTTTGTTTTTCCTCCTTTGTTTTTCCTCCTTAGACCTTTTTCTGTTTTCAGATCCTCCTAAGAGTTGCTAGTTCTTTCCATCCTATTCCCCACCACACTCATGCACAGGCAGCACATGTGCCCGCTCGCTCACAGCCGCCCTGTCTGAGGTTGGCCCTTTCTTCCTCAGCACCTGCTGCTGGCCCCCTCAGATGTGGCCGGATGGGGTACCTTCATTAAGGAGTCTGTGCAGAAGAATGAATTCATTTCTGAATATTGTGGTGAGGTGAGTGCTCTGGGTTTGGCCCACATTTTTATGGGGGAGATACCGATGAGAAACTCTGGTTTTCTGTGGGCTTGGCTTCTGTGAATTAATCTCTAAATAACTCGGCTGAGTTCTCATGTGGCCTCTTGGGGGATCCCACAGAACTATTTGTAATCCTGAAACAAATCACTGTTCTTCAGCTCTTTGGCAACTCAAGCTTTTCAAGGGAGTTGGCGGGAGGCTCTCTTCAGCCTTAACACTAGGCATACTTCACGGCAAGGTGGGAATTGGAAGATCATAACTTGAACTCACTCTCATGTTCTCGTCATGATGCTCTGTAACCGCCCATGTGGGACACTGCTCTCTCCCAGCCCTTTCTGAGGGCAGGACACTGTGCCCTGAGTAGGCAGCCTGCTAACCCCCATCTGTTCTTTGTCTCTCTCTAGCTCATCTCTCAGGACGAGGCTGATCGGCGAGGGAAGGTCTATGACAAATACATGTCCAGCTTCCTCTTCAACCTCAACAATGGTATGGAGGCTCTTTCTACCAAACAGCCCCGCTTTAATCTAGGTTCAGATCAGCTTTAAATCCTCCAATGGATACATAGAGCGAGGTGGTGAGATTGAAATCAGAGACCCCCTTGGGCCACAGTTCTCTTTCTTTAGGAGAGCCTTCATTTCTGAATTGTGTTTGTAATGGGAGCATTCAGTACTTTGGCCTCAGAAATCTCCCTACACAATTGATGGGAAGACGAGATCCATAGTTCAGAGAGGGCTCCCAAAGGGACTGCTCCGGCACGAGGCTGAATTCTCAGGCTGCATGCTTTCCTCAGTTCCTGTGAGCACACGCTGGGCTTCAAAATTCCTGTTGAACTGAATTGTTCCTGTTCCATTTCCTTGGTTTTAAATTCTGATTAAAGAAGCTCACGGTCTTCCTTGGCTTACTTTATTCAGATTTTGTAGTGGATGCTACCCGGAAGGGAAACAAAATTCGATTTGCAAACCATTCCGTGAACCCCAACTGTTACGCCAAAGGTGAGTTCACAGTGACCTGAGAGTGGGGTGGGGGCCACATTTACTATGACGGCTATATTGTTCCATTTTTTTCATAGCTGTTTGGTTTTCTTTTGTCCAAAGTTAGACATAATTAATGTCTGATATCATTTTAGGTTACGTTCTTGCCATTTTTTTTTTATAATTTTCTTTTCTTACTGAATGTATTATAAACACTTTCCCACTCACATGATTTAGAGGGAATTGTTTCCCATATTACCAGCCAGAATAACTGATCTAAAAGCATAGCAGGGGACCAGCTGGTGGCATAATGGTTAAGGTAGCTGGATTCCACATGGCCAGCTATGCAGTCCGAGTCCCAGGCCTAGTGGCTTGAAAAACACACCAGGCATGTGCGCAGGTATGCCCAAAATGCCAAGAAGGGTGAAGGGATTCTTTTGTGGCCATCTGAACTGAAGGGGGCACTTTCTTATTTTCCTTTGTGCACACTCTCTGTTTCTTTCTGGTGAGTGCATACACCCTATAGCAAATAAATAAATAAATAAAAAGAATAAATATAAATTTAAAAAATAAAACAGTAGCATAGAGGGCATAGTGGAATGCACCTGTAGTCCCAGATACATAGGAGACTAAGGCAGAAGGATCATGAGTTCAAGGCCAGTATGGGCAACATAGCAAGAATCTGTCTCTAAAATTAAATTAATTAATTAGAGGCCTTTATTGACTATGTTCTAATTCCATTTGATTTCTATTTTACTGAGAATTTAGAGAAAATTAGCCCAGAATACCACTGATGATTGGCTTAGAGTTGGCTAGGAACCTAGCCTTGAGTTGATCCTATTTGCAGTGGTCATGGTGAATGGAGATCATCGGATTGGGATCTTTGCCAAGAGAGCAATTCAAGCCGGCGAAGAACTCTTCTTTGATTACAGGTGAGCAGCCAGTACCAGCCCATGGGAGGTGGTCCTCGAGGGAAAAGGGATGGCTGTTAGAATTGATTCGGGGGCCTTACATAGGCAGTACGAGTGATGGCGGGTGCTCACAGTGGTCAGCACTGTCCCCTTTGTTCTGAACTCTGGTGCATGGCCTCAGAAGTGGGGACCTTGCAGACAGCTGCGAGCTAGTGGGAGGGGACGTGAAACAGGAGGGGCTCCATCTTTTCAGTTACAAAAGCCTCAAAAGTAACCTGGTTCCTCCTCCCTGCTCTGGGACAGGTACAGCCAAGCCGACGCCCTCAAGTACGTGGGGATCGAGAGGGAAACCGATGTCCTTTAGCCCTTTGGGGCCCCGCGCCGGCACTGTGGTAGCGGCACTGTCTTTGCTTCATGCACACACCACTGCTGCTCGAGTTTCCTGCACTATATGTGTCTCCCACACTGAGAAACCCCCCACCCACGCCCTCTGTAGTGAGGCCTCAGCCGCATCCACTGGGGATGAAACTGTTCCGATGAGAGAGGAGACAGAGACATCTAGGCTCGGTCTCCCAGGAGAGAGAGTTGCAGAAGTGGGAGTGCATCTCGGGCCTCAGAGGAAGAGAGCACAGGCTGGGGGCGGATGCTTTATGCTTGATTTCTTGTCAGCGCCCCAGGCTGTGGGCCTCAGGTATCAATTTAGGCAGTTCCTAGCAAGTGTTAGCCTGTCATTTCAGCTTCCCCTTGTGCAACTGGGGTGCCAGCTTTTCTCTGTGGCCCTCAGACACACAGCGGACAGGCTAAGCCAAGTTTGCTTCCTGGATCCTACAAGCATCTGGGTTAGAAGTGAGCCAGGCAGGCAGCATAGACTGAGCTCAGAGGGAGATGGGTCACCTTTCTACCTCTTCCCTCATGGCAGGGTTCAGACTGAAAGAATAAGGGTTCTAAGTACAGGTAGCCAAGGCTGAGGGAAGGAAAACTGAGTGCCATCTTTCCATGGACAGAGAGGGAGGACCAGCCTGATGATGGCAGCTAAATGGCTTGGTTTGGGCCCTGGAGGCTTTGAGAACGCCTGTCCTGTGCAGCCTGGAGATGGCCGAAGTGTTTTCGGATTCCCAGGAGCACGTGCCAGTGCCCCGGCTCCTTCCAAGGTTCTGGTTTAGCAGCTGCAGGCAGGCGTATACTGCTGTGAAGACACGTCAGGGTGTGCCTGGCTGGATGGGAGTGCTCCGGTGCGCTGGATCTGTAGTCGTTTCCACCCCTCAGAGAGGCTAGACCGAAGGGGCCAGTGTTGCCTCTCTTCAGGGTAGATGGGCACAGACCTGGACCGGAGCAGGGAAAGGCGTGTGTGCTTTCCTGCCTGTAGCACCTCTGCTTGGAAGGTGAGTTGGCAGTGTTTGGAGGTGGGTGTTTAGGATGGCACATGTGCGGCAGAAGGTGTTTGCAGTGTTAGAAGCAGGCAGATCACGCGTCCCAGTCCAGGGTTCCATGCTCTCTGGGATTCATGCAGAGCAAAGCACTTTAATTTTTTAGAAGGTCTGTAGATTGGGATGGAGTATGAGCTAAGGCCTCTGGGGTCCCTGCCCAAATCCCCCTCTTGAGGGAAGAGGGAAGGAAGGGGTAGTAGAAGATTCACCTCCAGTCTGTCTCATCTGGGGGAGGCAAGAGGAGCTGGCTTGACACAGAAGACTCTCATGAGAATGGGGCCAAGGAGAGCTGCCCCGCTGTGCGGCGCTGGCAGGGGAACAAGGAGCCCTGTGCTGGGTGGAGAGGCCTGGAGCTGTACAGGCTGGCTGAGGGAGTTCTAGAGCAGGGAGCAGGCTTCTCCCTTCCTTCTGAGGAACAGCCTCTCTTCCCAGTTCTGTGCTGACTGCACTCACCCTGGTTATCCCATGAAGAATGTGAGTTCTGTGAAGGAAGAAGCAGGGTTCTTTCTGGCCGAGCTGCCTCATAGAAACAGGTGTGGGACGTGCACACTGTGCATGTGCACACACTCTCTCATGTCCTCCTAGTCACCACACTGGTGGGCATGCAGGCACCCTGCCCTCAGCACACGCCCAGCCAGCTCCCGACAGCGCCTTCTCCCACCTGGTTGGGCCAGCCCCCACCATGGTTCTGAAATCTACATCTGCTGTGGTTCGTATTCATAGTGTATAGCGGGGACACCCTCAGGCTGGACTCTGGGCTCTGAATTACTCATCAATTACAGGGGAAACCCAGAGACAGATGAAGGAGGAGTTAGGTCTGTCTGAAGTGGGAGGGGCTGGCCATGCAGAATACGTGGAAAACAATTTTTTCTAGTTTTTGATGGGCTAGACTGACCCCACCCTTCCCTCAGTGAGCAGAATCACTGCGGCTGGTCCCCTCCGTCCTCCGTTTCAGACCACTGGTACTCCTGTTCCTCCAGCATCCCCACCCTTTGTTCCTGCTGTCCCCACCTTTAATGACGGGTCTCAGCACGCCCCCTCACCCCCCACGTCATGATGGATGGAGCAGTGGTGGGCCTGGGGGCGAAGCTGGTATACGTGTGGCTTTATTGCCAGTGAATTTCATGCACTTTAAAGTCCTGTGGCTTGTGACCTCTTATCTGAATAAAGTGTTAGACTCCATTTGGTAAGCTGCGTACTGTGTGCTTCAGGACCGAGGGCTCTGGGGATGGCGGGACAGGAGCAGGGGGACTGAAGCACCAGCGTTCTGATCACCACTGACCCACTGATTCTGATCCATTGAGTCTATGGTGGGGTGAGGGGCGAGCGCAAGAGCTAGTGAAACTCCTGGCAGGTGATGCAAGGATTCTGAGAGCACCCCCAGAACTTCCTGGGCTCCCAGGTGAGTTCCCTTAAAGTCATCCCATGCACCCATGCCACTCCGCCAGCCACCACACAACGACTGGGCTCTGCCACTCTGCTTTATTGAACAGCTCCGAGTCCGAGAGCACGGCGGGCTCAGCCCTGCTCGGAGCAGAGGCCGGCTCAGACTGGGCGAGTGACCAGTAGGACTCGTGAGACTTCCAACACGGGAGAAGCAAACTAAGACTGTGGGCACAGCACAGGACAGAACAGCCAATTGATTTTCTCTTTTATATATAAACGGATACTTAAAAAATTAGAATAATATAGTTTCTCTAAAGAGAGACTTGGCAACAAAAAATATATATAAAGAATATGACCTCCTGGGCAACTGAAGCAGCATCTCTGAGCAGAGGGAAGAGGGCTCCTCATGCACGGGAGAGGGGGCCAAGCCTATGCACAGGCATCAAGGCCATTGCGAATCTTGGAAAGGGTGGGAGGGAAGCCGGCCGGCGAGGCAGGAGATCTGCGTTATTTTCTCTACATACATCGCAGATTTTCTTATGGCTTTGGCTAAAGCATGTGAAGCAGCGGAGGTACTAAGGTGCTAAGCTGAGGCCTCTTGGTCTCTGTGTGAAAACAAAAAGGTGGGGGTGGGGGACAGCAGTGGAGCTCTCCCTAACCCCCAACCAGTGGAAGCAGATGGAAGACATTCTGCAGGGCAGGGGGAAGGCTGGGGTTTGATTTAGCAGCCTCCTCCCCCCATGCCCTGTGCAGCCCTGCAGTCCCTCTGTCCCTGCTGATACTGTATCTGGGAAGGGAGGCGGTTAATCTCCCTGCACTCTGTTGTTAATCCCCGGCAGCAGCTGGGACAGAGATGGCAGGAAGGGCCTGTCTCAACCCCACGAGGCTTTGAGGCAGGCAAACAGCCAGGAGCCTGGGGACAGGGACGAGCAGGGCATTGGTTTAGGCAGTGAGGCTCGGCCACTCTTTTTGGTCCCATCTGTAGCTACCAGACTTGGCAGGAGGGGAATCCTCAGGATGAGCAGAGCCAGTAAAAGGAGCCAAATGTCCCTGATAGGGTAGGGGAGAAGCAGGACTTGGGCAATTCAGAGGGGATGGCCTTGGTCTCTGAAGCCCTTCTCTGATTCATTCGGATCTAGACTCCTCCAGGATCTGGGGTAGGTTCTGGTCCCGGGGGGCAGGGGCTGAGGCTGGGGCTGGGGCTGG